CTCTGACTTTTGGGGGGATTTATAGTTAGGGACCCAGTGGGGCATGTGCCCTTTGCTCTCTTCTGAAAGGAGGGACCTTTCTCCCTTTTCTGAAGAGATCTGGAAGTCTTGATCGTTTTTAAAACCCTCAGAAATGACAAGTGAAGCGAAAACATCTCCTAATGTTTTTATTTTCCTCAGATAACTGGAAGGTACAAAGTTTTCCTCGTTTTTTACTTTAAAAACGTTCTTTCCACACACTGTTGCCCTCTTCACATTCCTTTCCCTTTGGAAACTGAAGTTTCCCTGGCAAGCCTTCCCATCTGCGGCTACAGGACTTGGATAATTTAATAGGAAGAGAGTAATTCCTTTGATTATTATCAACATGAACTTGACTATGTGTCTATAAGGGTGAACACTGATTTTTTTTTTTTTCTTTTTAGAAACAAAAACCATCCACTTATTAATCCAAACTACGGCATTGCATTTACAACATCCACTGCATAAACTGAACGAACAGGGTTACCACCTCAAGGGGGAACAGACGGACACTGCACAAGTATCTACGGGGTACACGAGTTCAAACAACGTGGGTACAGCGACTTCGTTCTGTGCTCTCCGACCATCGCTTTAGCAAGTGCTGGACACAGGTCTGCGTGCGGCTGGAGCCTCCGCACGGTTGATCTAAGAGACAACAACACAGTCAGGAAACAGCAGCTGCGATGGGATGGGAGCGACACTAGCCTGCGCCGAGCGCAGCCCGGGGCTCTCAAGGAGACAGGACGATCACAGCCATCGGAGGCGACCACGACTGAGGAAACGTCCGTGCCACCCTAACAGCGGGCCATTCTTGGGCGAGAATTGGCCAACAGTCACTACCTTGCTTCTTTAGTATGTTCTGTGACCAGAGAGGACGGACGGGGCAGAACCGGGGTGCCATGGGCTGCAGTTCCAGCTGCAAGTACAGGGGTTTCTTAGGACGTCTGTGGCCCGCCGGCACGAACGGGAGACACAGGAGGTAATGCCATCCCTCGACGTCAGGATCCGCATTGCTGATGATTTTCCAAATTAGTGTGATGAGTATCATTTTGGCAGCTGTTTCACAGGAGTTTCCTTGTGGGTGAGGACTTGGACCGTGGCTTCTGGGCAGAGGGAGCTACAACTCGTCAGAGCGAATGACGTGGAAGAGAGTGACGTTGTAGAGGATCTGGTGGCCATTGTTCCAGGCATACAGGGCCCGGTCCTTGGGGTTGTAGTCCAACATGGAGATGTGGGAGTATTTGTTCTGGAAGGGGATGTCGATGTACTCGTAGGTGGAGGCGTTGGTCTGGTACGCGTAGTGGACCTTGGTGCCCCCCGAGTAGCCGTTGGTGACGTAGAGGGTCCCGCAGATGATAAAGGCCTCTCCAGCACTGCGCTTGGGGTAGCTGGTGTTCCAGGTCTGCAGGATCTGCAGCGAGATGGGGTCCAGCTTGCTGATCACGATGTTGCCCGCGTTCTGGTTGGTGGCGTAGACGGCCCACAGCCCGTTCTCGTCCACCATGAGGTCGATGTCTGAGTGGCCACCCCAGGCATAGTGGTACATGTTGTTGTAGCCTGCGTAGTCCAGGCTGCGTGTCTTGAGGATCGTCTCCGTTTTCAAGTCGAACCTGATGATGATGTGACTCTGGAACTTGTTGAAGTAGATGGAGCCGTTGTAGACCACCTGCCCCGTGCCGGACCAGGGGTGGGGCAGGCGGTGCGAGGTGAAATTGTCCGTGTTCATAAAGTCAATCATAGATTTGTACTCGCGGACAAAGCGGTTGTTGTGGTAGCCATCCATGTACCACACCTGCAGAGAGAGCAGACCATTAGCACTTCCCAGGACAGGCAGGCTCTGGAAAGAACCAGGAAAGAGTCACTAAGACTCATGGGTGTCATGACCTTCCTCCAAACCCAGAGTGCACTTTTCAGAAGGGGACAGGACTATTTCACTGCCAGAGAAGGAATCCTCCAGTTCGGAGGGAGGACACCGTGGGAAGGCAGCCGTGGGAAGGGACAGAACGGCAGCCTCCCCAGTGCGTGGGCTGTGGAGCTTACACAATTCATACAACCAGGGCAGGCCCCACACCGAGCCTTCTGCTTGGGATGCCACACTGGCGAGTTTGCTGCCCGGCCACATGTATGGAAGAAAGGAACCCCATCAGCGCGAGCATCCCAGCAGCAGTGAGATGGACCCTGTACAAGTTCAAATGCTCACAGTACTGGTGGCTCTGGTCTGCTGTGACCACTGCTGTCAAGGCCACCTTTGTATGCCAGCGTCAGGCCTCTCCACCCTGCCCGTCTGTCACCGCAGCACAGGTTGAGTCATCCTATCTGCAGGTGGAACATCACTCGTGGCATTTGGGACACTGTGAGTGTACTCACTCCTTGTCACACCCGATCGGGGGTAAGTGCCTCCCCGAGAACAACGTGGGCTTCTCACAAGGTTCTGGCTGTCGAAATCAACCAAGATAACAAACCCAGTAGAGGCTCAAGTTTGGGGTTACGGAAGGAGAGATTTTGGATGATTGCTTAAGTGCCAGTTGACTTGAGAACTGTCTAGACTTGGTACAAAATGCTTTAGTCATTTTCAACCAATATGGGAGCAAATTAGAAAGCAATGCAGTTAGGCGGATGGAAATCTGGCAGGCTAACGCCCTTGCCCGCGCATCTGTCTGACAGTAAGACAGCTGCCTGATCCATCACGGGCTCCGGGAGCTGCAGGAGAGATGAGGATGCGGGAGCTTTCAGACTTGGCATTACACATGCGTTAAAAATTAAAAAAAAGAAAACCATAACCTTGTTCCTGAGACATCCATTTGGGTGCTTAAAAAGGCAGATGCACTTTTTGTTTTAATGAGACTTTTTTTGTTTTTAAACTGGGCCTCATTGGAGGCTGTTACCATCCTCAGTCTCCCACAGACTGCCCTCAAGGATGTGGGTCACGGATTAGGACAGGACGGGTACTGAGGGTACTGACTCCCTTGGTCGAATTACTGAAGAGCCGTCCACCTCCGCCTCCGCCTCTGCCTGGCTATTTTCTGAGGCATGGCGTTCGCTGCCGCTTTTCAGACTCAATTCAAGAGACATCTCTCCATGAACCCTCTCCTGACCCACCTCTAAAGGAATCGCCTCTTCCTATCTTGCTATGGAGAACATCTGTGCATATGTTCACACGCCAGCCTTCCCAGCAAGTGGGACCCAGAATAATCCCTGCCTGGACCCACAGTGTCCAGAGCCTCCTTCCTGGGGCAGAAATGGGTGACATCGGCATCAAATTACTAAGGATTTCTACATTGCCTTTCCCTCCTGTACACTGGCAAATTGAACACAGGACACAAGGCTTTCCGAAAATGCAACTGCGGTGGGGAAGGAAAATCAGCACAGGTGCTAAACAACAAACAACCAGGTCTGGGGCCTGGGGCGGCACCAGGGAGGTGGCTTTGGACGACTGCCAGTTTCCATGGAGTAAATATTCCCACTGTGGCTGAGCTGTCACCCCATGGGAAGCCACGGGAGGCCACAGAGAGGCCATCATGAGAAGCCTGCAGGGCCTGGTGACAGAAGCCCTGTTTTTAGGGGCCCATCCCGAGTGCATTCACAATGACCTCCTCATTTGGAATGCCTTTATCTCCCGTCCTACCCACGTCCCAAGGCTGGGATCTAATCCCGTCAGCACCGTCTGGATTTGTGTCTGGGGAGGTGGCCCTGGAGACAGTGCTGGTTTTGGGGTGATTTCACACCCATGCTTTCAGCAAGACCCACGGGCGTCAGCTAAAGGCCACGGCACAGCTGGGCTGTCTGGATGCCTGGGCAGCTATGTGTCATTTTGGGAGGCTTTTGCTGTGCCAGACACTGGTTTTGTCTCTTGCCTTCAGTCCTCATAGGAGCCCATGCACCAAGGGAGCTGTTACCACCCCATTTTCGACTAAAAAACTGAGGCCAGGGTGGTGTGGTGACTGCAGTGGACAGAGCCAGGAGGTGACTCAAATCCTGTGCTTGAAACCTGCTCTGGGCAGGGGTTCCCATCAGGGGTCATTATGCCCCCAGGGAACACTGGCCATGTCTGGAGACAGTCTGGGTTGTCAGGACTTGGGGGTGGGGTGGGGTGTGCTGCTGGCATCTGGTGGGTGAAGGCCAGGGTGCTGTACACACCCTACAATACACAGGACAGCCCCACGATAGAAGATGTGCAGGTCTCAGGTGTCAACGGGGTGAGGCAGGAAAGCCTCCCTGCTCTGCCGTCCACTCCATGAACCTGCCAGCCAAGTGGCTAGCGTCCCGCAGCCCACTTACCATTTCTGCTCTCTGTTCCCCTGGAGGGCAAAGCTGTTCCCATGCCACACACCATGCCCGGCCTGCATCCTGAGTGTCTGGCGCCCCCAGCCCCTATCAGCAGGCAAGCAATGGCACCCTGGCATTTGGGGAGAGATAGCCTGGTCATGTGAGGCTTCATCCAACTTCCTCCCTTTTCCTGGTAAAAGGCCCTCAGAGGCAGCCGCAGGTGGACGGGAGGGTGCGAAGGCCTGGCTTGGAGGCTGCAGACCCGAGTCATGTATTTACAGGCAGGGGTAAGACGGCCCACGGGCCTGAAGATCTCCGGCTCCCGCTTGAGAGCCACGAGAGGACATTTCTTTCCCAGGGCAGGACTGAATTTAGAAAGAAGCGCCCCCTTTGACCTTTTTCGGCCCTAGCAGTCTTGAGGAAAGAATCCGTGCATGTCCAACCCCAACGGAGCGAATGTCCCAAACAGAAGTGAGCCCATTTTCAGGAAGACGTCCGCTGCTCCCACTTGGCCTCAGTTTACCCTTCACAGATGGGGCTGGGACGACGTCACCCCGGCTCTTCACCTGCTTCCTGTGCCGGAGGCTCACGGGTGGCACCGCAAGCTTTCGAAGCATGCTGTTCCACTCAAGCAGTGACTAATCTGCATCCAGGACCTGGTTCCAGGCTCCCCCACCATCAGTTACGCCACTAGTCCCCTCACTGGCCCCACAGCCATAATGTGGGCCCACATGAACCTTCTAGAACCCCAATCCAACCTGTCACTCCCCTACATAAACCCTTCCTAACTCCACAACTCCAAACTCCTCTGCCCAGCACAGTCCGTACCCTGCCGCCCCACCTGCCACACAGTCCTGTTCCCACCAGGCCACGCCGTGTACTCTCAGATGCCTGTCCCATGCTCTTTGCCCCTGCATGACCCCAGGCCCTCCTGCCCGCCCCCAGCTCAGGCTCACCTCCATGGGAGGCATTCCCTAAGCCCGTGTCCCCTAGGCAGGTGTCAACCCTTGCAGTGGACTGAATAGTGGCCCCAAAAGATATGTGCACATCCTAGAACCTGTGAATGGGACCTTATTTGGAAAAAAGGTCTTTGCAGTGTCCCCTAGGCAGGTGTCAACCCTTGCAGTGGACTGAATAGTGGCCCCGAAAGATATGTGCACATCCTAGAACCTGTGAATGGGACCTTATTTGGAAAAAAGGTCTTTGCAGAAGTAAATTAATGACCTCGAGATGAGATCATCCTGGACTAGGGTAGGCCCTAAATCTACCGACAAGTGTCCTTAAAAGAGACAGAAGAGAAGACACAGACAATGAGCAGAGGCTGTGTAAAGACAGAGGCCGCCACTGGAGTGATGTGGCCACAGCCAAGGATCACCCAGAGCTTCCAGAAGAGGCGGGACGGATCCTGCACAGAGCATCCAGGGAGAGAGCGCCATCAGGCCGACACCTTGGTTTCGGACTTCTGCCCTCCGGAACTGGGAGAGAATCCATTCCTATTCTTCTGAGCCCCTGGTCCGTGGCCATCTGTCGCAGTGGCCCCGGGACACAAATGTACCCTAGACCTCCACACCCACACATCACGATCGTTGTCACTGGGGCATTCCCACCTGCCTCTCCTGCTCGACACAGTGGCCACCTCCTGGCATCACTGTGGCCCCAGCACCTGCCCCGGCATGGCTCACTTCATGTCTGTGGTCTGTCAATGAAGGACCCGCTCCATCGATACCAGGGAGTGAGGGGCTTCCCTGTGGCTGGGGCGCTCGTGCCAGCCTGGCAGCAAGATGCACCTCCACGGCCAGCCTGCTTGGATCCGGGCCCGACCCTGCAGCTGTGTGATGGCAGGAGAGCTGCTGCCCCTCTCTGTGCCTCAGTTCCCCTGGGTGCAACATACACCATGTGAGGACCTACCACCTGCCACTGCTCCACAAATGCCAGGCATTCTCATTTCTGTCTTTAGCCTGGGGCAGGAGGAGTGGCCCCTGAGGGCACTGCTGAAAGAAGGAGTTCTAGGACCACCCGTGGGCATGTGGCAGGAGGGTCCAGCTCCTCTGAAATTTAAGACCACACTGAGCTCAGCCTGGGGACCAGCCCAGGACGTCCACAACACACAGTCACAACACCCATGCCTCCACGAAATCACAGAGGCCCAGGGAGGACCAGGATCCCTGTGACCAGTGCTTGCAAATCCCCTGTTCGGAGAGGCCCAGAGAGAAGGACGGTCTCTCTGGGGATCTCATGGTCAACATGGTCCCAGCTGCCACCCGCTCTGCTCACCAGAAAGCTCATCCACCTGTCTGCATCTCACATATGGCGCGTCCACGCCTGCCTATGCCGCCAGCTGCCCTGGCCCCAAACGCCCGAGGCTGCCCTACTGCCCCACACAGCCGGTCTGTTCAGAGACAGCGACTCTCCCACCCAGTTACTCCCAGATGTCACCACCAGTGCCCATGTCCTCCAGCCATGGCCTCTTCCAGGCAGTGCTCTCATCCCCCTTCCTTCGCCCCTCAGGGACCTTCTCCTAAACCT